TGAAAGGGCTAATGGCTAGAAGAGCCAGGGGGTGGAATGCAGTGAATTGCTTGGTGTGGCCCTTCTAGCCATTGCCCTCCATTCTGTGGTGTTTTGTAAATCCCATTATCTATGCCTGTTTGGGGTGGTGTGATAGTTAAGTTCACGTATTAACTTTGCTGGGCAGCTGGTAGTAGTCATTCCCTATAATGACTGGCAGTTGGAATTTAGACCTTGGCAGTTATAACTGATAGACTGGGCTGGAGCACTGCTGGTGGAAGTCAAGTTTCTGAGGGACCCTCTAATGACTGGCAGTTGGAATTCAGACCTTGGCAGTTATAACTGATAGATTGGGCTGGAGCATTGCTGGTGGATCTCCTGGGAAGATTCGCTCCTCCTCTTGCTTCGGTTTCTGTTTCTTGGATCATCCTCATCTCATCCCTGGATTTGGGACAATAGCCGCCGTCTGATCTACTGATCGGGGTTCATCAAACCCCGAGAGTTGGGAGGATTCGCCAGACCTACTCACGGACCCGGGACTTGCCAGCCTGCCAGTCTCCGCCACTCCTACTTACGGACCCAGGACTCGCCAGCCTGCCAGCCTCCACCACTACTACGTGAAACAAACCCTTGGGTGTTTGTGAGTTCTGTGAGGCGTTACAGCGAAATTCAGAACCCTAAGACTGGGGAAATTACTGGGAGAAGGAGGAGGAGGGATTAGTGTCTGAAATGATGGAGTGGTATGGTAGTTTGGACATTTGGGACATTCTTGACCTCCGCCTCATGGGGACTAGCCTCGTGCTGATCTTTCTAAGAGAAATTGTTCAAGTACCTACAAAGTGAGTTCCCTTCCTTAAGCAAACCCTTCCTTGTCTTTTTACAGTAATGGGCTCATATGATATTTGTCCTTCTGAGATTGACTTCTTTCAGTCAGCGTAATGTCCTCCAGGTCCATCCACCTTGTGAGATGATTCATGTATCCTTCATTGTTCTTTAAAGTAGCATAGTATTCCATTGTGTGAATGTACCATAGTTTGGTTATCCACTCATCTGTCGATGGGCATCTAGGTTGTTTCCATCTCTTTGCAATAGTGAATTGTGCTGCAGTGAACATGGGTGTGCATATGTCTGTTCGTATCCTGTCACTTACCTCTTTAGGGTATAGTCCTAGTAATGGAATTGCTGGGTCAAATGGTATTTCTATTTTCAGTTTTTAAAGGAAACGCCATACCATTTGCCACAATGGTTGTACCATATTACGGCCCCACCAGCAGTGTATGAGAATTCCAGTCTCTCCACAGCCTCATCAGTATTTTTATTTTCTGTCCTGTGGAACTTTGCTGTTACTGCTGGTGTGAGATGATATCTCATCGTTGTTTTGATTTGCATCTCTCTAATAGCTAATGATCATGAGCAGTTCCTCATATGTTTGTTGGCCACCACCATATCGTCTTTAATGAAGTGTCTGTTCATGTACCTTGCCCATTTGTGATTGGGTTATTTGTCTTTTTGGTGTTGAGGTGTTGAAATTTTCTATAGATTTTGGAGATAAGTCCTTTGTCAGATATGTCATAGGCAAACATTTTCTCCCGATCTGTAGGTTCTCTTTTTACCGTTTTGGCAAAGTGTTTTGATATGCATAAGAATTTAATTTTTAAAAGGTCCCAGTCATCTAGCTTCTCTTCCACCTCCTGTGCATTCTTGGTTATGTTTGATAGTCTATTTATGCTGTAAATTAAGACCCCTAGATTTGCCCCTATTTTATTTTTGATGAATTTTATAGTTTTGGGTTTTGCATTTAAGTCTTTGATCTAGCTTGAGTTTGCTTTCGTGTATGGAGTGAGATATGGGTCTTGTTTTATTTTTCTGCAAGTGCATATCCAATTTTGCCAGCACCATTTGAATATTTGAACATTTTTGTGTTGTTTGTCTGGTTTCATGTAGTAAGAATGATTTTAATGAATCCTTTACAGATGATGACTTTGATCAATTTGATAAACCTGGTGCAGAACGGTCTTGGAGAAGAAGAGCTGCGAATGAGGACTGGGACAGGTATGTACAAATATTTTTGATGTTGTGATAGTCTGTGTTGCTTTTTTCCCCTTCTCCTATTTGACTACGTAGCGATCTTTATTAAAAATTGGTGATCTTTCCTGAATGAGCCTATCTGTCCTGATTAACAGGCTGTCTGATCAGCTCCATTTCCAGCCATTTGTGTACACAGGACTATGAGCAGAACAAAGGTGTTCCTCATCTCATTCTGTTTTGCTATAGTGATGAAGCTGACTTTGTGAACCCTGTCGCTGTTGTATGATTGCAGTTATATGACAGTTCATTTTGCTCCATTTCTTAGACAACATTGGGCTAGATTTTAATATTTTTGCCATTTTAATGCCTATAAAATTAACTATGTCTCAGTGTAATTTTAAGTTCCTTGATTTACTAGTGAAGATGAAAATATCTGTTTAGGGATATATACACACACACATAACACACACATACTCAGAAAGTATTTAAAAAATCCCCAGTAATGATAGATGTCAATTCAATATAGTGGCTACCTCTAGCTAGTAGAGGTTACAAGTTGTGTGCTGGGTAAAGTATGCAAAGGGGCCTTAATCTGGGTGGTGGCATTCACAAATGATTGTTCTTTTTAATTTTCTTACCGTACTGATTTTATGTTGAAAATTGAAAAATGACCTTGAAGTTGCAGGCAGAAAGCTAATGATAAAGGTAAATAGGTCTGAATAAAAAACAACAATACATATACTGCTATTAAAAAAAAAAAAAACCTGATTCCTGTTTGAAAATGATGGTACTGAAGTTTTACATGTAATTAACTCTTACTTAGTAATTCTTACATGTAATTATTATTTATGCAATTCTTATCCTCTTCAATGACTCTTATGTAGTCTATTAAGTAATTAATTAGTGCTAAAGAACAAAATCATTCTTATTAAAATGTGAATCTATCAGGAAGTAAAGATAGTTTTGTTTAAAAAACTTACGGGGAGTTGAATAAAATATAAAGAGGGTCTTCCCACCAGCCACTCCTTGGAAGGAAGGTTGGGCAGTCTACTTCCATAGTGATAACCACCTTGGAAACCCAAGGAGGAGTCACTATGAGTTAGATCCAACTCTACAGCAGTGAGTTTGTTTTTTGGTTAGTAGTTTACTGATCATTTGGATTTTCTCTCTGTGAATTGTCTGCTGATACTTATATCCATTTTTGTGTTGGGTTGTCTTTTCATTATTTATTTGAAGAATTCTTTTTGCTTTTGGAAGTTTATATTTTGTCGATTACAGGTATCTTCCCAGTCTGTGGCAAGTGTTATTTTAAAAAATAGTCTTTAAAAAAATTTCAAAATATATGAACACATGTATAATCTTTTTCCTGTATGGACCATATTTATTTTTTTGTATTAAAACAAAAAAATTTAAATAACTTTCAAAATTATATAAAAGTTGCAAGAATAACACAGTGAACTTGCTTATATCCTTCTTTCAGATTCACTAGTTGCTTTTTTTTATATTCCTGTTATCATTTTCTCTTTATATATGTAAATATATGTAATATACATTAATATGCTGTAATTATATGTAATATGATTATATATGTATACTGGTTGCTTTTGTCCACCACTCATCTGTCAGTTTGTAGTACTGTGGTGGCTTGCATGTTTCTATGATGCTGGCAGATATGCCACTGGTATTTCAAATGCCACCAGAGTCACCCATGGTGGACAGATTTCAGCAGCAATTTCAGACCAAGACAGACTGAGAAGGACAAGGCCATCCACTTCTGAAAAAACTGAACACTGAAAATCTTTTGAATAGTGAAATATTGTCTGATAAAGTGTCAGAGATGAGCCTCCAGGTTGGAATGTACTCAAAATAAGACTGGGGAACAGCTGCCTCCTCAGAGTAGAGTCATTCTTGATGTAGATGGAGTAAAGCCTTTGGGACTTTCATTTGCTGATGAGATACAACTCAAATTGAGAACAAATAGTTAAAAATATCCATTAATAATTGGAATGTATCAAGTGAAAATCTAAGAAGATTGGAATTTGTGGGGGGAAAAAGAAAATGGAATGCATAAAGATTGCTATCCTAGGTATTAGTGAGCTGAAAGTGACTGCTGTTGGCCATTTTGAATTGGATAATCATATGATTTACTATGCCAGGACTGAAAAATTGAAGAGGAATGGCATTACATTCATTGAAGAGAACATTTCAAGATCTATTCTGAAGTACAGTGTTGTCAGTGGTAGGATAATATCCATATGCCTACAAGGAAGACCAGTTAATACTATTATTCAAATTTACACGACAATTACTAAAGTAAAAAATGAAGAAATTGAAGATTTTACCAACTTCTGCAGTCTGAAATTGACCAAAAATGCAATCAAGATGTACTGATAATTACTGGTTATTGGAATACGAAAGTTGGAAATGAAGAAGCATTGGTAGTTGGGAAATATGGCCTTGGTGATAGAAATGATGCTGGAGACCTCATGACATTATTTTACAAGACCAATGACTTACTTTATTGCAAATTCCTGTTTTCAAGAACATAAATGGAAGCTATACGTGTGAACTCGCCAGATGGAATACACAGGAATCTAATTAACTATATCTATGAAAAGAGGTGATGGGGAAGCTTAGTATTATCAATCAGAACAAGGCCAGGAGCTGACTGTGTGGAACACAGCATCAGTTGTTCATATTTAAGTTCAGGTTGAAGGTGAAGAAAATTCAGATAAGTCCACGAGAGCTGAAATATGACCTTGATTATATCCTCCTTGAATTTAGAGGCCATCTGAAAAGTACATTTGACACATTGAACACCAGTGACTGAAGATGAGACAAGTTGTGGGATGGCAGTAAGAACATCATATATGAAGAAAGCAAACAGTCATTGAAAAGACAGGAAAAGAAGAAAACACCAAAATGGATGTCATAAGAGACTGAAACTTGCTCTTATGGAGAGTAGCTAAAGCAAATGGAAGAAATGTTGAAGTAGAAGAGCTGAACAGAAGATTTCAAAGGGCAGCTTAAGAAGACAAACTTTTATAAACAAATGTGCAAAGACCTAGAATTACAAAACTAAAAGGGAAGAACATGCTTGGCATTTCTCAAGCTGAAGAACTGAAGAAAATAAAAGTATTCAAGCCTGGAGTTGCAATATTGAAGGATTCTAAGGGCAAAATATTGAATGATCAAAAGATGATGGAAGGAATACGCAGAGTCACTGTACCAAAAAGAATTGGTCGATGTTTATCTATTTCAGAGGGTAGCTTATGTTCAAGAACCAGTGGTATTGAAGGGAGAAGTCCCAGCTGCACTGGAACTGGTGAAAACAAATCTCCAGGAATTGAGAGAGTACCCACTGAGATGTTGGAACTAATGGATACATTGCTAGAGGTGTTCACTTGTTTATGCCAGGAAATTCAGAAGACAGGTACCTGCCCAACTGACTGGAAGAGATCCATATTTGTGCCCATTCCAGAGAAAAGTGGTCCAACAGAATGTGGAAATTATCGAACAGTTACCATTAATATCACATGCAAGTAAAATTTTCTTGAATATAGTTCAAAAATGATTGTAGCAGTATATTGACAGGGGACTTCCAGAAATGCATGCTGGATTCAGAAGAGGGCATGGAATGAGGGATATTATTGCTGATGTCAGATGGGTCTTGTCGAAAGCAAAGAGTACTAACTAGACAGATGTTTACTTATTTGTGCTTTATTGACTATGTAGAGGTGTTCGACTATGTGGATCATGACAAATAATGGATAACATTTTGAAGAATGGGAGTTCCAGAACACTTAATGGTGCTCATGAGAAACCTGTGCATAGACCAAAAGGCAATTGTTAAAACAGAACAAGAGGATATTGCATGGTTTAAAATCAGGAAGTGTGAGTGACAGGGTTGTATCCTTTTCCCAATACTCGTTCAATCTATATGCTGAGCAAATAATCCGGAATCTGGACTATATGAAGAAAAACGTGCCATCAGAATTGGATTAAGACTCAGTAACAACCTGCTTTATGAAGATGACACAACCTTGCTTGCTGAAAGTAAAGCACTTACTTATTAAGAGCAAAGACTACAACCTTTAGTATAGATTACACCTGAACATAAAGAAAACAAAAATCCTCACAACTGGACCAATAAGTAACATCACAATAAATTGAGAAAAGATTGAAGTTGTGAGTGATTTCACTTTATTTGCATCCTCAATTAATGCCCATGGAAGCAGCAATCATAAAATCAGATGATGTATTGCATTGGGCAAATGTGCTACAAAAGACTTCTTGAAAGTGTTAAAGAGCCGAGATGTCACTTTGAAGACTATGGTGCACTTGACCCAAGCTGTGGTATCTCCAGTAGCCTGTTGTACAGTGCCTAAGACATTTGACTGTTGGCAGTTTAAAGGAGCTCTTGTAGCATAGTGCCTAAGGCACTTGACTGTTAACCAGGAGGCCGGTGGTTTAAATCCACCAGCCACTCCTTGGAAGGAAGATGGGGCAATCTACTCCTGTAGTGATACTAGGCAGTATCACTACTTTGCTTTCGACAAGACCCATCTGACATCATTAATGATATCCCTCATTCCGTGTCCTCTTCTGAATCCCAAGGAGGGGTCGCTATGAGTCGGGGTTGACTTGATGGCACATAACAACAACAACAACAGCTGCTCTGGGGAAGGAAGGATGGTGCAATCTGCTTCCATAAAGATTTACTGCCTTGGAAACCCAATGAGGATTGCTGTGAGTCGGAATTGACTCAGTGGCAGTGAATTTGGTTAATATGTGTGCAAAAGCTGGACAGTGAATAAGTAGACCAAAGAAGAACCGATGCCTTTGAATTGTAGCGTTGGCAAAGAATACTGAAAATACCATGGACTGCCAGAAAAACGAACAAATTTTTCTTGGAAAAAGTATAGCTGGAAGCTACACTTAGAAGTAAGAATGGCCAGAGTTTGTCTTACGTACTTTGGGCATGTTGTCAGAAGTGACCAGTCCTTGTAGAAGAATATCATATT